CCACGAATCTTCGCTACCAAATCTCAAATCTACAAATCTCCTCTATTATCCTTCTCTACTCCAAAACGCCGTCGTTCTCGTCCTCGCCGGAACCGGAAATTTCATGACTCATCCTACGACCATACCGACGGAAATGTACTCACCATCTCCACTCCGTCTTCCACCGGAGCCGAAGACCAAAGTCTCAGCTTAACCCTAGACGTACACCGGATTTCAACCCTAGCTACTTCCCGATTCCATTTCTTCCTCGATTCCGGCAAAGACGCTTTCTCCGATTTGCAAACTCTAATCGCGCTCGACGATAACCGAAGAATCGTCGTCTCGTGTAAGAAATCAACTATGCAATTCGTCGGAGGTGTGATTGTGATTGGATTGGTGTTTGGTTTAGCAGTCAGGGTTTTGGTGAAATTAGGATCGGCTTTTAAAGGTAGTTTCCAGAGTAAGCCTAAATTAGTAGTTAGGAGAGATAGGAGTCTTGGTGGTAAAGAAGTTGTTGTAGCTCTTGACAACATTCGTTCTCCTTCGAACGATTCGAAAAGCTCCATAGCTTCTCCTGGTCAAGATTCTGTAACCAGAAATCCTCAGCTCAGAGCGCAGACTAAGTTGCCTAAATGGTGGCCTACTTCATTGCCTAGCCAGAGCTTGGATGTAGACAAAGAAGGCTATCAGAGAGTAGCCAACAGACTCGTACGAGGTAATATTCTTGCAAAGTCCTCATTACTTAGACAAGCTTTTGCTTTAAAGCTGAAAGATTTTCAATTTTCCATTGGTATTAGTATTACTTGTGTGTGTTATGGTTTCCTTCTATAAATGTAACTTATTAGTTTAGTTTTTCCAGCAATCGTCGATAACAGAACCAGGGGAAAAGACATTACGGATGATGATATCATTCAAGTTAGTATTTTGTTTCTCTTCTCCTTTTCACTCGATTGTGTAACTATGTTCAACGAGTTTGAATTAACTATGAAATTATATACAGCTGCGTAGAGTGTGTAGAATTGCTGGAGTACAAGTCTCTATTGAGCCAACAAATACCCGAGATTCTTTTTACCGAACATCTGTTGATTTTGTGTTAAATGCTTGCAGCAGGTGTTTCTCTATTGACCTTTACTTATTAAGTTTGTTTCTACTCGTTTGTCTTTTGGTATGATTCTGAACTTGTTTGAAACTGTCTGAAACTCTGTGTAGAGCTCCTTGGGAATCTTCGTCTGTCGAGATTTGTAGTGAAGATGCCCGAGAGTTCATTGCTGGACTCGCTGAGAACATTGGGCTTGCAAAGATAGATGCTGCAAGAATGGTTTCTGCAGCGGTTGCTGCACGCACACGTTCATGGTTTCTACAAGCTTGGGTTGCTTACTATCCTTCTTCTAGTGTCTATTTGTTACAGCAAACTTGAAAATGCTTATTCTTTTTTAGTCACCTAGATAGATAACCGTAGCATATGATACAGAATCAAACACTAAAGAATACATTTTTAATGAGCAAACTCAATGTTACTGCAGGCTCTGGAAATACAAGGTAAACATTCAGAATCGGTGGCAGAACTATCGAAAATTTGCCTCATTCATCGCATATTTCCTCCCGAGGCGTACTCTGTATGTGCTTTTTCTTCTCATCTTTCATCAGCAGTCTCTACTGCACTTCCCATGTTTTCACCAAAACTTCCTTGCTTGTTTGCTGATACTCAGGCTGAAATGGAAATGGTTGCAAGAGGGTTGGAGAAACTCATGAAGCCTGAAGAGCGTCAGTCTCTATTGAAAACGTTCGTTGGAATGTGTTGCAGTGAAGATAGTCAGAGAAGCGCGGCCGAGGCTCTTGGTTTGGTTCACTGGTAATTAAATTGTTTCTACGCCGATTTTTTTCAACTTCTAGTGAGAATATAAAACAATGAGGACAAACATTTCAAACATTGTGTCATAATCAACTTTTAACATAATGATTCTTAATCAAATGAAATAAGTTATTGACACATTTTAATTCGTAGTATAGTTCTTGAGTAACACTATGAAGAACAAAAGCTACGAAATTATGAATAATATTGTATAAATTCATGATACAGAAAAGATTTGTTATAAGTTTGGGTACATTTGAACTATCTTCCATGAATCAGCTTATATATAGTAAAAGAACAAACAGATATTAGAAGATTACCCATTAAATTAACACAAATCCATCTCCATCAACTCAAATCCAATTCCTACTCACCGTCTCCTCCTGAACAACCCATTTACATTGCATAATGT